AGGAGTCAAGGGTAAAGTCAGATCGCCGTCAGGGGGCAGCAGGACAGGGCTGAAGTTCAGGGTCAACCAGGAGTCAGGTAGCGGTTGGGGTTAGGAGTCTCTCACCGAAGTCGCCGCCGCAATAGTGGAGCAGCCGGTGCGCGCGACCTCGAGTGTCTGGGCACGGTGAGCAGGGGTCTGTGGGGGGCGCACGGTGAGGGGCACGGACCTCACCTCCCTGCTGGCTCCCACCGGGCCGTCCCCACCTCACCTGGGGCGGGGGGCGCGGTCCTCGGGGAACCGGCAGCTGGGGCCGCGGGGGCTTCAGCGGGCTGTGGTTCCACCTCCCGAGGCTGCGGCTGCCGCAGGGACCAGCCCAGGGTCTGCGCCTGCGCCTGGAAGGGGCCGTAGCGCTCCCGAGGGAGCCAGAACTCGAACTCGATGCCGGGGTTGGGCTCCTGCAGGAGGACCTGGAGGGGTGTCACGCCGAGGGAGCTGCACTCGGACCCGATGGCCCAGCTTCCCCCCTCTGGCCCCCGTCCCCCGGCCCCCATCCAGTAGCCAAGCGCCCCCTCCATCTCCCAGCTGCCCCCGCAGAGCCTGGGCCGCACCTGCAGGAGCAGGTCTTGGGAGGTGGGCCCAGCCGCGCGCAGCGTCTCCTCTGGCCCCGCAGCGCGGGTGTAGACCACACGGGTGCCCGCCGCCTCGTAGGTCCCGGGTGGGCTGACCGCCCAGTTCCCGTTGAGCACGTGGCGCCCGTCGACCCCTATCAGCGCTGCAAGGGAAAGGTCAGCCCGGGCTCCGGGAACCGGCCCGTTCCGCCTCCCGCACCCCTTCCCCCCCAGCCGCAGCCGCAGCCTCCCCGGCTGTATCCGAGGCGGCCAACAAGACGCCTCCCCCTTCGGGCCCTGCGATACCCAGGTGGTTGCGGCTCCGGTGGGCTACGCGGATGTGTCTGGCGCCCTCGGGGATCAAGGTCACGTTCCAGTACCCAGCGAAGGCACCTGGGCGGAAGGAAAGGAGGGCGTTGGGCGCGAGTGGGAGGGTATTTGAGGGATGAGTTGAGGATTAAATGAGATACTGCGGTAAGCAAGTTAGCCAGGGTCCTGGCACCTCCACAACGCTCGGTAAACTTTTGGAGGTAAGATTATTCTCGCTTAAGTGCAGCTGGGAAAGAGTTAAAACCCCATCTGTTCCGGGAAGGGCGGGACCATCTGACAGTAACCAGTCAGAATGAAGAGAGGGAGGGGGCTGGGCCACGGACTGCCCAATCAGCTCGGGATTTCGCTTCCGGGCCCAAAGCTCGTTAAAGGGCCCGCTCTGGGCAAGCGGGTACGACGGGGAGGGCGGTCACCGGAGTCACGGAACACGCGCTGCACGAAAAGGCACGACTCGTTGGCGCCGCCGCAGCGGCCGCAGTGATCTTCGCGGGCGTCCGAGCCCAGCAAACCGTCACAGCCGGCGCTCTACAGGGGCGGGGAGGACGAGCGCGGCTTCGCGGACAGCCCCTGGCCTGGGACAGCCCTAGGAGGCGGGGCCGGGGCGGGGCCTAAGGGGAAAGGGGCGGAGTGGAGCCTGGCATGGGCGGGACACGGGGCGGGGAGCGGGG